CATTATTGTTGCACAAAGTCTTGTCTTCTAGCACAAAATGCAATTCAGACTTGCATTTGCCTCACACATTAGGGACTGAAGCCTTCTTCTTCCCACCTTCTGCTGCAAGCACTGACCTGTATGAGTAAGTTTAGACCTACCAGCTGTGCTTGGCTCCTTAGCTGACTGCTGTGTGTCCCCGCAGACAAACACATACCAGGCTGTGCTCACCACCGACGGCTTCAGATCCTACCTCCTGATCCTCTACCAAGACGGAGGCATGAGATGGGATTACAGCCAGCTCGCTGCCGCCAATGTGCTGATCGGCTATTCCAGGTAATCGGAGCCCTACGGATGGTTTCCTACCCCTGCCTTCTCTGCAGTGCCAAACTGCAGGCTCCGGCTGGTTTAGTCCTTCCCCAGCAGAGCACCCGGGATGGATAAGGCAGCACAGCTGAGGTCTGCCTGCCCACGCAGCCCAGCAGCCTGTGCATGGATATTTGCCCAATTACCTGGATCGCTTGCAAAACTCTTATCTGCTGGGCTGTGCTTACGATAAGATCTTACATTGCGCTGCAGCCGGAGACTGGAGTCTCTTGGCAGTTTGGGGCTTAGAAGTGGGGAAAAGGTGGTGTTTAATGAACTTTGCGCTGCTTGGGGAAGGGATTTCCAGTGGCTTGGCTCGAAGAGTTGCTTCCTGCGCCTGGTTGCATTGTACCTGCTTTGTGCTGAGACTTCGCTGACCGGCAGTCTCTAGGACCTGCTTATTTTTGGTTTTCTGCTTCTGGGTAGAGAGGTCTCGTGGGGTGAGAAGTGCAGCGTGTGCCTGCAGGTTTGTGTGCGAGTGCTCACGCGCTGCCTCTCCGTCTCACAGCTGTGCAGACAGTAAAACCCCCTGTTCCCCTGGGCCTTGAGCCTCCGCAGCACCCGAAACTGAGGGCATCTCATGGAAGGAAAGCAACAGGCTGGCACGCACCCCCACCCCACAGGAGGAATCTCTGACTTTACTAATTATTTCTCTTTCTGCACACAGTGGGGATGGATCTTACCACAATGATGACCTTGTTCGAAGACCTCCAGATGCTAAATACCGCCCTGACCAATTCAGGGGCTCCAACACAGGTGGGCACCCACAGTACACAGTGCACAGTGTTTGAGTAGCTGGGGAGGTCTGCCCTGGTAGGGGAAGCCTGAAATATCCTTACCATGCTGATAGGCACTTCTAGCAGTGCTCTTCATAAATGGCTCTGTCCAGGATTTCTTCTCTGGGAGAAGCATCTCCTCCGCTTCCCTGGCGTGCCCAGTTGTTATATTYGGGCCTGATGGTCGGGGGTCCACGCTGGCTTAATTTCTGCACCAGGAATATTCACCTCTTGCRTTAAGCTGAAGGCAGCCTTGGCTGGAAGTGACAGCTGGAGAGTTCTCTCCGCAGGTCTTCGTGGGCTGTGGATATACAARCTGGAGAGCCGCGTGCGGGCCAACTACAGGCTGAAGTGCCTGGCGTGGACGGGGCAGCAGCAGGAGCCACGAGTGTGGAGCCAGGACCTGCCCTCCTGCCCCTGCTCCCTGCAGCAAGGGCAGCGGGACTCGCGCTTCAGGAGTGCCCGGAGAGGCAAGTGGGAGCAGCACTTTCCAGGCCCTCCTTGATCCATCCCAACCCAGGTCCCTYGCAGGGTGACAGAGCTCACCATGAGCATGCCAGGTTGGGGACATCGGGTGCCATGAGGGGAGGGACACAGCAGTGGTGGGCAGTGGGAGGTCTCACCTTGGGGTGCCACCAGGACAGACCCCAACAGTCCCCCCAGGAGGTGGCTGGACCGCTGGATGATGGTGAAGGGGAGCCCCTCTCTTCTCCCCATTGGGAACTCACCACTGCCCCGTTTCAGGCCGGCTGGACGGCTCCCGCGTGACGATGCTGCACTCGGCCGCGCCGAACCAGCACGGCGCTGGTGTCCGCTGCCTGTACGACGGCCACGGCCGGTTCACCGAGGGGCGGCAGGAGAGGTACTGGCGGTCCTCGAGGCAGGCGTCCCCGTACCGCGGTAAGCAGCTGGCGCCGCTCTCCTAAACCTAACCCATAGCAGCAATATCCAGCAGCTTAGGAGTATTAGCCTCCTGTGGAGGACTGCGGAGGCCCCTCAATATCTCTAGCTCTGAGATATTTTGCACCTGGAGCGGCTGGAGCCCAGCAGGATGAAGGGTGGGGAAAGGGCCCTTATATCCCAAGGCTTTAGAAGCACGGAGCTGATGCAGCAGCACTGAGCTAAGCCCAGCTAAGTACAGCCTCCCGCAGTGAGCAGGGGGTGAGGCTAGGCAGCAAGAAACCCAGGAGCTCACAGAGGCTAAATCGGTGTGAAATCAGACAAGGCATGAAATCGATGTGAAATGACCCTGTGGTTTATAAAGGGGCAGATGTGCTGTTCTTCCGGAAGGGATTTTATCTCAGTAAATGAAGGGCTTTCAAATGCGCACGGATTTCCCAGGCTCGGTGTGGTGGGTGAATGGAGTCCAGCCCGTCTCCTCCTGCCCTTGCCTGTGACACTGGGGAGGTCGGGGTGGAACGGGATGGCAGTAGGGCCTCCCGGTGTCGTGCAGCTGAAGCTGGCATCACTGCAGCCTGTAAATCATTTTAACCTCCATGCAACCCTAGTTCCTGACATGCTGTTGCGCTTGGAGGGAGCACGAATGATCTGATACCCACAAAACACAGTGTGAGCCCTTGCGCTGGGGCCAGTGCCGGCTGACAGTGCCCTGTCTGGAGCCAGCACTGCTTGCTCTCCTCCTCTCACTCTGGTTTCTGCCTCCAGACCAGGAGCTGAAGTTGCATGACTGGTGCTGTAACCAGGCGGGAAGCACCCAGCTCTGCGCCAGGTACAGTGAGAAGAGACCRGAGATCGGCTGCGATGGACACCAGGCATCCAGCACTGGTGGGTTTCCAGCTGGGGAAGTGTCACTCTGCGCCAGGGTGGGAAGCCAGCTTAACCTCCATGTGGCTAGTGCAGGAATAGCCTGTGGTGGCCATGCAAAAGGTTTTGGGTTGTCCGCAAGGATTGCACACCTGAAATTAGGCTTTTTTGRTGAAAACTGGGAGAGACACAGCAGCAGAAGAGGGCTTGGAGAAARAGTCTGGGTTAGGAGACCCACCACTCCCTGAGAGAGCTTGGGGAGGTGACGTGATGAATGAAGGAAATAGGGTGACCAACAGTGGTGGCTCCTTCTTGCTTATGCAGCCTGTAACATCTCTTTCCTGGGCAGCTAGAAAGTATAAAACATGAGAGAACAAATGAGCTTTTGTGGTGCCTGGCAGCAGAGGCTTGGGCTACTTGGGAGGATCCTTGAGATAGCCTACTCCCACGTAGGCTRTTGGGGGTGATGGTGCCAAGAGGGATGGAGAAACAAGGACAACGTGGTTCTTCCATGCAAACTGACCTGTGATCTTTCTTGGGACTGCCAGGCCGGTCGTCGGAAGAGGAAAAGAGCCACTCGGAGGAGCAGGAAGGTGAGCGTGCAGGGGACTGTCCCAGCAGGCAGAACCCCCCAGCCCAGGGATGAAGCGTGGATGAGGTGGCCGGTTCTGACTCTGTTCAAGTCGTTGAGCACTTACTCTTTCTTCTTCCTTGCAGATGAAGATGACAAGTAACTCCACACTCGCCCCGCTCCTTGTCCACAATGGCCTGGCTGTTGTTGATCCTCCAACAAGCCCTTTGCTCCCATTCCAACAGAGGAAATCTGCGTGGCCCCATTCCCCTGTTCACTGCAGCCACCGTTGTCCCATGCCCTCTGCGCAGCATGGACTCATGCGGCCAGTGCTTGCAGTTGCATTTGCTGATAGGCATTCACGTTTCTTTCCCAGATTTGTCACAGGGATTKGGTTGCTTTTTTCCTGGCTGTAGCCTTTTTGGGTACCTGCTGCATTGGGATGCTGCAAAAATTGGCACCTCCTTGCTGGCGGGGAGGGGGGCAGGTGTTTCTGAGCTGTGTCAGACAAACCTTGTCCTCTTCCCTGCACATGGGGAAGGCAAGATGAGAGGGCTGGTTGTGTCCCAGCATGTGTGAAAGGGTTTCTGCACCTTGTGTAGGCCAAATGCAGCCAAGCCCTCAGTGCCTCACAGCCTCAGGTGGCCTCCCGAGATGGTCCTTTGGGCTGGTGGTATCTGTGTCCTGCACTCTGTTCCTGCCCCAAGGCTTTCCTCCCAGGTATTCCAGAGCCCAGGAGCAACTCTCTGGATCAGTCCAGAGTCAGGCTGATGTCTCTGCTGGACATGCAAGAGCAAAACTCACCGCCAGAATCAGAAAGGGTGGTAGAAAATTATTCTGTGTGTGTGTGGGCATCTCTATTTCTTTAAGCAAACGAACAAACAAAAATCCTTGTCAAATATTGTTCATTGAATAAATTGTCTTAAGGTCATAAGCATCTCTGACCACATGGCATCCGTGTCTTCTGCTGCAAYGAGGGCTGCAAGGGCAGTGTGGGCAGCGACGTGGTGATCTGGGAGAGCTGAGCTGCTGGCTGTGATGTACGCAGTGGGGACCTSGTCCTTGTCAGCCTCGGGGGAAAGAGGGCTGGGGGCCAGGGCTGCCTCTCRGTGCTCCTCCTGCACCAAGGACGCACCTTTGCTCAACATGGGTAAACAGCAGCAGGGAGGTTGTGGGGATCTGATCCTGGGGCTGTGATTTGAGTTGTTACGTGTAGTGATTTGGGAAAGCAATGAGGTTAGATCTGCTGCTTGTAGGTGGGAACTAGGACAGAGCAATAGAAACTATGGGTAAAGTTTCTTGGGTGCCATAGGTGCAATGGGCCACCAGGTGCTGCAGAGCTTGGGAAAAGGAAGCAAGGTTAGTGCCCAGACACTAAGTGCATATAATTTACTCAGCAACATGCTGTAATCTTTTCTTTTATTCTATTATTTTGCTCATTGTAGGTTATAATCATCATGGTGTCCCACCTGAGCCTGTTCTCAGTGGTCTGTGCTAGGTCTAGTTACATTGCACAAGGTGCTACCTCCTTACTCACATGTTCAAGAACTACCCTGACTGTTGTTAGTGGAAGGTGGAGTCCTCTCACTTTGATGACTCATCCCAAAAGTACATTTTTTCATTCAAAAGCAGCTTTTCCTACAATGYGAACTGTTGCAAAGGCACCTCCTTCCACAGCCATCACCTTAGACAAACTGTCCCCAGAAGTCACAGTCCTGCAACTGGAGCCCAAAAGGCAGAGGCATGATCCCTGGTCCATGCTCATAATATTTCTTGAAATTTTGAGAGCGAAACAACAGGCAGCTCACTCTCCACAAGTAGCCAGAGGTGTCAGAGCAGGAGCAGCAGCAGTCAGTGGCTGTGGAGATTGCGCCATGCTAGGGCTGTTGAGCTGGTTGACTTGGAGGCCTAACGTTGGGTCTTGCAATCCTTATCTGTAAATAGTAAAGAAAGCAGTGATATGGATGAGTGACTCCTCTCAAGGGCTTTGCAGAAGGTCTGGCCTTTGCTACGAGCTCCAGCAGCAGCAAAGCTCAGACCTGAAGGCTAGCAAAAACCACCAGAGACCTGCAGGCTTGCAGCTGGCAGATAAACAGACCTGAAGTGATGGGTCGATGGCTTGCAGCTGTGGTGCCCAGCACCATTCGGAGGCTTCAGAGGGGATGTGCCCTGCTCCATCGTCTACCGTGGTGAGAGCTGGATGGGGAGTAGGAGCAGAGCTGGGGGGAGTCCTGCGAGGGCAGGCTGAGCTGGGGGCACCTCAGCAGGTAAGGAGGGCAGGGATCCACTGGTCAGTGCTCCCACAAAACCAGCTTTGATTCTGACCGTAGCCACCAAAGGCCCACTGGAGGCTGTTTACATTAAAGGGAGTGAAGCGGACGTGGGGTTGGGGGGGTGTGCAGGGATATACTCACAGGAGAATGGTCGCTGACTCCAGAAGGACTCCTTGGCCCTAAAGGAAGGGGAGCAGAAAGAGAACAATACGTCACAGGGCACCAGGAGCACCCTGTGTGGTGCTGGCACCTCGGTCTGAGCAGAGTGGGGAGCAGTGATTGAGCTTGGTGTGGGGTTGAGGAAAGGGGATGGAGACAGGGATTTGGGGGGTTGAGACAACAGCAGAGGTAAGTCCCAGTTGCTGCATGAAACAAATGCAAGTGAACAGCGACACGTCCCATGGGCTTGGTGAGCTGGCATCCCCTGGGCAATGAGGGAGCTCACAGCRGGTACGGGACACAGCACAACCCCAACACAAACACAGGGACGTCCCCAGTCCTGCTCCAACCTGCTCTAGCACCTCCTTGGCCAGTGCAAGGGGCTCAGGGCACGGAGCTTCCTGCTGCCATGCAAAAGCCCTCTGGCCTGGGACCAAGGGCTGCGGAGAAAGAAGGGAGACACTGGCATTTCCCCTGAGTCTCGCGCTTCATCAGCCATCTGCTAACCCCCTTCTGCACAGAAATAGAAGGGCTACTCCTGCAATAGTCTTCTCCTGCTGCAAACCAAGTCTTCCCASGGAAGCACGAGTTCCCGTGGAAATTACTTGGACTTTATTCAAATTAAAATTAAATAGAAAGCCATTCTGTAACCAAATACTGGTGGGGTGGTTTGAGGAGGAAATGCAAATATTCTCTGCAATGGGGACATAAAGAATCTAGTTTTCAGCCCACTGAAGTAACTGGACCCTTGAGCATCAAATGGCTGGAAATGGGTCCGGAAGACACTAAAAGACCACCCAGTAAAACTGCTTACCGGAGGTAGGCTCACCCCAGCACCCGCTGCCTGGGAAATCACGTCCAGCYAGCTCTAGACTCTTCAAAAGTGAATTTCCCATCGATTCTTTTGCAGCAGTTTTGGATTCTTTTGGATGCTCTTCCTGACATCCACACTCCATCTCCCGCTCTGCCTGGTGCCYGAGAGCCCCCCGCCCAGCGCCACCYGGTCCCCGAGCGCCGYGGGCGCCACTCACCCCTCGCTGTGTGGGTGCCGGCGGCAGCGTCGCGCGGCCAGGCCGGTGGCGGCGAGCAGCAGCGAGAGCAGGGCCAGCGCTCCCAGCAGGATGCCCACAAAGGCGCCGAGGCCCACAGCGAGCTCCTCGCACCGCTCGCCGCCGGGGGAGAAGATGGAGAAGGAGGCGCAGCTGCGGAGAGGACGGAGCAGAGGTGAAGCCCTGCGGCGAGGACGCAGGCCTCTCCCGCCCGCCTCGTCGGGCGCCGCTACCTGCACACGGGCCCGTCGGGCAGGTGCCGGCAGCGGCCGCTGTGCTGGCAGTAGCCCTTGCTGCAAGGGGACATGCAGAGGAAGCCGGCGCTCGGCACGTAGTCCAGYTGGTAGCCTTTGTAGCCCGAGAGGCCGCAGGGGAAGTAGCGCCTCAGCTGCGGCACCGTCACTGCGGAAAGAGGCAGGCATGGAGAGCGCGGCGGTCATCCGCAAACCGGCTTGGGTGGAATCACCGAGTTTTGGAGCAGTGCCGCCCTGTGTTGTGTATTCACTCTCTCCCACCCCCAGGTTTCCTCTAGCTGGAGGCACATGTAGGGTAGGGAATTGCCACCAACCCCTCATCCATCAGCGCCAGCATCACSCGCACTGTGTCCCCTGAGACCCCTGTGTCCCTCTCCCCAGCCCCAGGGCCAAACCATGGCCCCAGGAGGACTCACGCTTCACCAGGTCGGTGACGTTGTCCCCGTGCAGGCGCTCGAAGGTGACACGCGCTCCCACGGCCCGTCGCCGGCGCTGGGGCGGCCTGTTGAAGGCCCTGGTGATGGCCRCCCTGAGCTCCTTGTTCAGGAAGTGGATCACGGTGCTGGTGCTGTCGTAGGCGAATTCGGACACCACGGTGAACGTGAAGCCGTCTCTGCAGTGAAAGCAAAGGGTGGACAGAGTCTGGGAGCAGATCTRCAAACATGGCCAGAGCAGCTTTTCTGTGCCCCAGTTTCCCCATTTTTCCCCATAAACACCCTGTCTGGGTATTTATCAGTTGTGGGGCTGAAAAGACAGGCGGTGATTGTCCTTGACATCCCAAACCCGTGCCRCCCCATGTGTTCACTGCTCGGGTCCCAGCTCACTCACATGCGGGTGATGTTGGTGTTGCTCTGGAAAGCCTTCACCTCCAGGGATGCCAGGACGGCTGTGACCTGAACGGGGCAAGTGGGAGGCAGTGTTAGAGGAGGGCAGGACAGCCCAGGTACGGGGCAGTGACTGAAGGGCGACGTRTCTGAGCCCCGAGGGCTGCTCTGCCTTTTCATTCACACGTGGGGGACCTGGTGAGCAGCCATGGGTGCCGCCTGTGTGRCTGTTGGGACCCCATGGGCTGGGGCCACCTCCTCACTGGCCTGAGGGGTGGACATCGAGGACACAGTGGGTGCCCTCTCAATGCCTTCCAAAGCAACACCCCAACATCATCCTGTCCCCAGCCATGGGGGCCCCTGGACACGCAGCAATAGCCTAACCCCCTTGGCTGACGTACAGTGTGGTTGACCTCGCCGTTGGTGACGTTCTGCAGCGTGCGGACCTGCAGGCGCACGCTCCGCCGGGGCAGGTCTGCTGGAGGAAAGACGTGGCAGTTGCTCTTGCCTGCCATGGCTCACACGAGCCAGGCTGGAGCCCACCCGAGGTGACGCAGACACCCACCTGGGCTTGCCAAGGGCTGAAAATCACCCCCTGCCACCAGGCAGTGGCGGTCGGTGAAGGCAGGGGGGCACAGGCAGGTGGGTGTGCAGGTTGCCATGTCCAGGTGGCACTGGCCCCCATTGCTGCAGAAGCCCTCYGGGCAGGTGTGGGTCCCACACGTGGCCATGCAGCCTGTTCCTGCACCTACCAGGATCAGCGGGGTGGAAAGTGGGGTGAAATAGGTACTGGGTCGCAGCCCTTGGGTTCGGTGGGCACCAGAGTCAACCTGGCCTGTGCTCAGCCTTACCCCAGGCTTCATTGATTTTCTTCTGCACTTTTAGTGACTTCTAATACAATTTCAGAGCCTCAAGGAAAACCACTGTAACCTCCACACCCTCCACCTGGAATCTTTTTCCCAAATATAAATGCCAGACTGATACTTTGTAAGTGGAGTGAAAAAAACCTTCCTCCCTCCTGCCAAARCCATTCTGAAATCAGGTCTCAATTTTAAGCCTCTAGACCTCTTTGCCTCGTACACATGAAAGGCTCGATCATATGGGATTTTCCTTACAGAAAAATCCCCCACAAAAATCCCTTCCCAATAGACGAGTGTTAGCAGCCCAGGAGCACCAAGCCCTTTTGGGGCTGGAGCTGAAGTGTCTCTGTCCCATATGGTATTAAGGGCGGCACATCAGCAAGGCACTTGGGTGCAGAGCTCACCACCCAGGCCRTCTCCCCTAATCAGCCCCGGGTTAGCTTCTTTGGCCACGCTGCCACCGTTTTGGGGCAGAGATTCTCCTGGCAGCAGGGGCACTCACCAGCCTCGCAGGTGCACAGGTAGCTGCCCACGGTGTTGGTGCAGGTGGCRTTCCCCACGCACGCCGTCCGCCGTGCGCACTCGTCGATGTCTGCTGAGGCAAGGGCAYGTGGCATTGAGCGAACCCGGGCTAAGCTGGGACCAGGCGAGCCCTGTGCCACTCACCTGCGCAGTGTGTCCCATCACCGCTGAGGCCGGCAGGGCAGGGGCCGCAGCCGGTGCGTGGGTGGCAGCTCACGCCGGGGAAGCAGCCCCGCGCACAGGGGTCTGGTGGGTCCTGGCAGAAGCGACCGGAGTAGCCTGCATCACACCTGCAGGCTGCGAGCTATGGAAGGGGATGGTGGTCCTGGCTTAGGGACACCATGCGGATGGATGGATGGATGCACAGAAGGGCATGGGAAGGGCGTGATGCTGGAGGAGCTTTACATGCTGATGTGCATCCCTGGGGACGTGGTGCTGCCCAAACCCCCCTACCTGCAAGGAAGAGCTGCCAACGGTGCTGGTGTCGTTGTAATCGCACTGGTGGCTCCTGCTGCAGTTGCAAAGGGTAAAGCTGAGCAGGAGGATGGCGGAGAGGTTGTTGGTCCCCACAGCCTCCAGGCTGACTGTGAAGGGGGCTGTGCTGGTGGGTTCCCACRTGAGGGTGCCGTTCTCTGCATGAGGAGAGAAGGGAAGGAGAGGAGGTGGCAGGAGAGAAGGGCAAAGTGCAGGGAAAGGGGCAGATTGCGAGTCTCAGCAGAACCTCTGATCTCACCCTACCTGTTATGTTGAGCTCCAGGGAGATGTGAGGGACAAACCGCGCGCCTGTCCCCTCTACTCGGTACTGCCTCGTCACCCTTTCCATCCTGTAGGCTGTGAGCGAAGCATCACCAGTGATGATGGGAGGAAAAGTGTCTGAGGAAAGAGCAGCCCACACACAGCTGGAGGTTTGTCATGTGGGGATGGCCTCCCTTAGCTCTGTTCCTGTCCCAGTGAGGACAGGACCTCAAACAGACCCCCAGCAGAYAGGACGCCAAGCAGACATGGCCTTGGACACCCACCAAAGCTCTCATGTTTCTCTGTGCTGCCATGTCCCAATCACTAAGGACCACTCAGATGGGCAGTACAACTCAGAGACCTTGGCTGGCATCTTTCCTGACTCCATGTGGGGCGGGAAGGATGCCAGCCAAGGGGAAGGGTATCCCCTGGGGAGCCATCCCGTGATCTCTCCGAGGTGACCATCTGCTCCACTCACTTAGCACTGTCTTCTTCTGCTGGAAATCATCTGCGAGACTCTGGGTGGCCAAGCCCAGGGCCACATCTCCAGTGCTCAGCGTGTCGTAGAYGCACTCCCTGCCCCCGTGGCACCGCGAGGCTGCCAGCTGGTACTGGCTTTCGTTCTCCTGCCGCAGCCGAGACAAGAAGACAGGCGTGAAGTTCGTTACYGGAGCTGCCAGCGGCTCAGCAAACAGGCTGTGCTCTCCAACAGCCCCTGCAAGAGAGCACACCATGGGGACGGGCAAAGGTTTTTAAGGATGCCTACTTTTGTGTTGGTTTCCATGGAGCAGTAAAGAGACCAAAGGGAATCCTTGGCACTGGTTTTGCTCAAGCAAATATTTAAATTTCTCCAGACCAACTGAGAGCTGAAGGTGCTGAAGCAGGGGTTCACTAGGATGGATCCTGAGCCCAGACTTACAGGTCATGCCATAGCTGAAGATCTCCTCCTCACTGCTGTTTGTGGGGATGTTGGTGCCRTTCAGCATTCGGAAGTCATCTGCAGTGTTGTGGTCCCATACACCTGGAAGAGCATCGCAGGAGGATTGGAGCCCCCCAGGCCTCAGCTGGCCACCCTGTCTGACACAGACTGGGGTTTAGTTTAGCCACGTGGGAAGGCCGAGGTGGGTTCTGTCCCSGTTTCCTCACAAGCCCTATCCTCTAGCATTTGTCAGCCTGCTCTGAGGTACTAAGGGGATACTGCACTCCTGCTTGGAGGTGGAKGGAGCCAGAGCTGGGGGGTGGTAGTGCATCTGGGTCCCAGCCCTAAGAAGAGCTTGGTTAGTCCTGGTTATCTGCAGTCCCTGCAAGCTTGGGGCCTCAGCAGTGCTGTCAAGTTCCTTCACCATCGCCACCGTCCCATCAGCTTCCTTGATGGGGAGTTGGGTCACCAGCTTGAGGCAACCATGCCCCAGGAGATGGGCTGGTGCCTGGTCCGCGCGGCACTGATCTCACCCTGCAGCCTTTGCATGGGTGCCAGCCTGGCCCCTCACCCAGCAGGCCCTTGGTGGCGTTGAGATACCGATCAGGCAGGGTGCAGACCACGCTGAGCATCCCGGAGGTGGCCAAGACAGAGATGGCAACAGCCCCGTCGAAGACAGCTGTGACGGAGGAGGCATTGACCACCAGAACACCGGGGTTGTAGTATACCTTGGCATCCATATCTGCAAGTGAAGATGAACACAGAGGGGAAAGTCTACACAAGCTCAGAGCTGGACCCATGTGGAGACTGGCCTGGACCTGCTGAGGGATGTCCTCAGCTCCCTGCACAGTCTCACTGCTGCTGACACCAACGGCCCTGGGCTGCCCTCAGGGATCCCCTTGCAGGGTGTAGCCAGGAGGGTCAGTTGCTAGAGGAGCTCACCTTTGGAGTAGGAAAACAGGACGGGCTTGTAATTCAGCAGGAGCTGGATATCACCTTGGCTTCCCAGGGTCCACTCAACCTGCAAACCACAGAAGATGTCCCAGTCAGGCCATCTGCTCATCGCACTGAGCCTTTCTGATCCCAGCTCGTGCTGGAGACACAGGAGCTAGACCCTGTCCTGCTCAAGCCCCTCAGAGTCRCTCAGCACTAGAGGCTGTGTTGCTGTGCTTGCCATGCTGGGCATGACAGTGTAGGTTCCCGGGTCAGAGAATTGCCCTGCCATGGCTCAGGACTGCTTCTCATGGCATTAAGGGATTTGAATGACCAACCTCCTCTAGATATGGGGAGGAATTATGCAAAAAAAGAGAAGGGATGCAACTGTGAAGATAGCCTGGAAGAAATCAGTTTTCAGTGTGTAGATTGTGAAGCATGGAGTGATAAAAGGATGAAGCAGATGTTGTTTCTGTAGAGCTTCAGGCCAAGGCTGGACAGCATGCATGCGGTGTTAGAGCTGGCTCTTGTTAGTCTTTGTACAACCTCTGCACATAGCAAGTTGCTCAGGCTTCTCATGGGAGGTGACACAGAGGAGAGTGGGTGTTTTGCAAGTCCCAGGCATTTCTAGGAAGTGCAGATGTGCTGCCCAACCTGTCTGCTGGGTTTCTCCCATTAGGTTCTCAGATCTGTAACCAGGTGGCTGCTACTTACGACTGTGGTGTTGGTGGAGATGTACTGGGCAGCAAAAGCCACGAAGTTGGTGGCCTGGGCTGTGCCAGTCYGGGCTGTGCGCCCTTGCAGGGTGAAACTGGTCCGGGCATCGCTGGCCTTCAGGAGGACAAAGTCACCGAGCCCATTGAAGGTGTAGGTGAACCCATCCAGGGTGGTGATGTGGGGGTCCCCAAAGGCACTGGCTGGGGTCACAAGGCGGTGAGGGAATTTTATTGGGAGGAAAAAAGTCAATTGCTGGCATCATTGCAAAGAACGCACCATGGTCCCGTGCAGAGCACGGAAAGCTGGGGTCGCAGTGGGGACCATGCACAGCTGTGCCATCCATGCAGCGCCAGAGCCTGGGGCTGGCTCCCTGTCACAGCAGGGAGATGGAGCAGGCAGCCCCGGGAACTCACCAGGGGCGGGTGGCACGTATCCCTCGCAGCTGGCCCTGGGTCTCTTCTCAGCAAACCTGGTGCACAACAGGGGCTTCCCCACTCGCTGGCAGCACCAGTCAAAGGCCTCCAGCTCCTCATCTGCAGAAGAAGATGGACAGTGCTGCTGGGGCAACCGGACCTCCCTGCACCACTGTGCACCTGTGCTCTGCACCACTCTTAGGCACTCTTATCTGCAGGTGTTTGTAGGGAAGAGAGCCACGGTGCTTGCTTACCGGTGGTGGGGTTGAGGGCAAGGCTCCAGACCCTCTCCTGCCAGCCTTGGAGAAAACTCTCATTCYGATAAAGACATCGGACCCCCGCTCCTGTCTGGCTCGGGGATGAGGTGCGCAGCATGGTCACRGAGGCATCTACCAAGTCTGAAAAGGTTCATGTGTCACTGGCTGCCTTGGGAACTGGCCAGGGGCCTGACAGCAGGAGAGTCCCAGCCCTATCCGACCCCACAGCATTCATCCACTGGCTTCAACCCTGCCCAGGTGGACTATSAAAGTGATGGGTGAAGGGGACCAATTTGGGAAGGTGCTGGGTGCCTTAGAGCCCAGAGGGGAAGTCTCATAAGAGGCGCTTGATCAATGGGATGCAACGATTGTAACGGTGGGTTTGAGATCTCCGCCCTCCAGATTTGTGGTTTCTGACCCCTCTTTCCCCGTGCAGGGGCACCCGACACCTCTGCTCTGCCGGTAGCGGGGGTCCAGCTCTGCCTGGGACCGTGAGCAGGGGCACGGCAGCAGCTCTCCATTCCAGCTGGACGGCTCCGGCTGTGCCGCCAGCCACGTGAGGCAGCGCAGCCTGTAGTTCACCCGGGGACGACTGTCCAGCTTGTAGATCCAGAACCCACGTGGACCTGGCAGAACAACCAGACAACAACACAACCAACGTCCTACAGCTAGTGTCAGAACCGCTGGCATCTCCCCTCATCCAGAGAGGAGAGTCCAGGCTTGAATGATTGTCCCGTGCCATTAACCGCTCTCAGGAGATCCCCAGGCTTCCTGTCGAGCCAACACCGCTGGTGCTGGGGCAGCTGTGGACAGCCCCAGCAGAAGGGAAGCAGGGACCTGTGCTTTGCACTTGTGTCTGTGCTCATCTCTGCTTTTAGGCCTCTCTCGCTCTCAGCTGGCAGCCCTTGTGCAGGCTCCATTGCTCCTCAGGGATGTTGCACACCAGGGACACACTCGTGGGCCTGTGGGCATGCATCTCCTCTCCAACCCCCAGCACTGAACCAAAGACTCCCTTCCCACCGTACCGGTGCTGTAGCCTCTGTACTGGTCAGGCCGGTATTTAACTGCTGGTGCCTTTTGAATCAGCTCGTTATTTTCTGCATATCCGTCGCCACTGTGTGAAGAGAGGAAGTCCTGTATCACACACCTGACAACTCTACACCTCCATCCCRCATTTCTCCAGCCTTGGGAGTGCATCACTCTGTCAAGCACAAAGAGGGAAGGAGCTGATGGTGCTACAACCCAGCACAGGTCCTTCCTYCTAGTCCAGAGCGGAGCACCAGACCACAGGCCATGAATGAAAGCAAAGAGGAGGTCGAGAAACAGAGCAAATCTGAAGGAGGTGTGACAGACATCTCCACATACACACACACGGCACCTGGAAAAGCCCATGAGCACGTTCCTTGCTGCGAGCTTGGTGAAATCCCACCGCATGCCACCGTCCTGGTAGAGGAGCAGGGCGAAGGACTGGTTCCCATCRGTGGTGAGGACCGCCTGGTACGTGTTTGTCTAGAGAAACCCACAGCACCAAGTGAGCCCACTGCAGAGCCTCCCACTTCCCACAGAGCGGGATGAAGCAGCCTCACCAAGGGGACACAGGGAAGGAGAAGTCACCAAGGCTTTTGGGTTGGGATAGCAGTGGGAGAAGACCCTTTGTGAGCAGACCATAAAAATCCTGAGCAAAGCAAGCAGGGAATTTCTGACCCACAGATGGCTTCTCAGGGTGCATTTATCCGTGGAAACCCGCCTGGGTGTACCACGGGCATTTGTGTCCTGCTGTGAACAGGTAAAATCAAAGCTGCAAGACCTGAAACCCATGCATGAAGCTGCAAGAGGCCACAAACGCACCCTGACTGGCCACAGCCAGGCCCCCATCACCAGTGGGGYCCCCATGGATCCCCTCCGCTCACCCCTGTGTCGTTCCTCCGGGATGGGTACGCTGGAGCATCCTCCCATGTCACCTTCAGGGTCCATTTGGCTGTGTATGAGGTGTTCATGTATCTCTCRATCTTTGCTTCCACGTCGTGGACAAGGGCATTTTGGGCAGACCCAAGAGTGAGGTATTCCTATGAGATTTCAAAGGAGGAGTTTGGAAAGGATGGGATTGCTCTGGAGGTTYGAACCAGGCTCTCCTGGGGAGGTTCCAAAAAACCTCTTACCTGGTACCATGTGGTGCCGACTCCCTGGGAAAAATCCGCATCATCCCAAAATGCAGCCACCATTGGCAAACTCTCCTGGCCACCAAACCCGTGGGGAGGTGGGTTAGGGTTGGAGGGGACATAGTTGTCCGTAGGTGGGAAAATGATTTGTCCGTCATCTGTAAACTAACCAAAATAACTAGTGATTTTCTGACACCAACCTCCCCAGATGGCACCTGCCCAGCAATGCGATTCTTATTTATACCCTGCCCAAGGATAGGCAAAAACTGGATGTTTTAAATCATGAAAAATTAACATTATATTAAATAAAGTTTCTGTTCCAATTTTGCTGGGATTTTTTTTTTCTCTCACACAAGCTAAATGTCRCTCGTGCTTTGCAGCCATAAATACTCACATAGAGAGAGTCACGCAGTGTTTTCCCAAAAGGGAATCCAATCTCTGGCTTGAACAGTGGGGAATTAAAGTCCTCCTTCCTTTCAACATATCCTCTGTCATTTCCCTCCGTGCCGTAAGGGTATAGCGACACAGCTGGAACTAACACAAGCAGGTGATTAATAGACAACTRAAAATAAGCTCATTCCACTTATCACATCTCCAAGGTGAGCAAGTCCTGGCATAATCCACCACATCTGTTGTTGCTGTGATGTCCTGTAAAGAATCCTGCCTTCCCAACTCAGGGATTTCCTCTGTGAGCAGGTACTTAAATGATTTTCCTCAGCTGAGCTGTGAAAGATCAGACAAAAATGCACACAGAGGAGAGGAGAGAGGGGACAACATTATGTGCAGGGTTTGGACTTGGCTGGCTGTGGGCAATGGCACTGTGCTGAGTGGGGATGGAGAGGGGACCTTGGCTCAGGATGGCCTTTATATGAGGTCAGGGGAGTGCGATCCCTGCAAAGTTTCATGCAAGGACAAGGGACTCCCCACCGCAGGGTATTTGGGCTTCCCAGGCAGGGGGAGGCAGTATGTGTGAGTCAGGTGAGATGCCCTGCTCTCACATTCCCTATTTCACCTTTTCCTATCAATCCCCAGCCCGGTGCCTATTGCAGATGGGCTGTCGCATGTCATACGCGGTCACAGCAGCTCAGTAGGGCCAATCCCTCCCCGATGTCCTCTGCCTTAGGAAGAAAAGGAAGGAAGAAAATCTACTCACTGCTGAGCCCCAGGGTGGGCCGGGGCTCAGACGGAGACRTAACCATGGGACCTCCGTGGCTAGGGATGGCGTGGGCAGAGGCCCTGGGGGCCGTGGCTGGTCCTTTCTGCATCCCAAAGGCAGGAGCCGTGGTGGGGCTGGCGGCTGCTGGTGGCTTGTGCGGTGCTGTGGTGCTGCCTCCCAGGAGGGATTCCCCGTCCTCCTCCGAGTCGCCCTGCATCGCGGCCGGACGCGCTGGGCTTGTGGGCGTGACAGGCAGCACGGTGCGTGGCGAGATGGCCACGATGGCTCCAGCCGCTGGGGTGACGCTCTCTGCGGGCCCTGTTTTGGCCACTCCGCTTCCAGCTCCTGCTGACACGAGCAGAGCTGGTGAGGGGCTGGTTTTGTCCATGGTATCTGGCTCTGGACTGGCGGCAGAGACAGGAAGGATGGACACGGTGGTGAATGCAGGCTGCGATCCAGCCTGGCCACCCAGAGCAGGGACAGCCACAGCTGAAGGGGTGCCAGGGACAGAGAAAGTCCCCAAACCCTCCTGTGGGGTGGTGAGGCCCTTGGCGAGTGTGGGGAGCGCCCCGGATTGGGGTTCGTTCCTGGCTGTCCCTGCTGCATTGCTATTCAGGACTGCAGCGGAGGCTGCTGTGGCTGCTGCGTTGGCTGAGGCATCACTGGGGGTGTGAAGGGGACTTGTCATAGTGCTGCCTGTGGCCCCAGGCTCTGGGGAAGCCGTTGGTAGCACCAGCCTGCTTGGGGCACCAGGAGAGCTGGGCAGAGCTGTGCTGTCTCCCAGGTGCGCGTCAATGGGGCTGGTCATGGTGGCAAAAGCAGGAGAAGAAACTCGGCTTGTTGACCTCTCTGGGATGTCATGAACGATGGTGGCTAAGCTGCTGCTGGCAGGTTCAGTTGTTTTCTCCCCCGAGACAGGTTGTCCCTGGGATCTCTGGGTGACAGGAGGTGACGTGCTCAATGCCTGGTCTGGGCTAGAGTTGTTGACAGCCATGGGAGAAGAGGAGCCTGTTGTTGGCTTGGGTGCGGCATATCCGACTGCCAGGGATGGTGCTGGTTCTGTGGTAGTGCTGTCACCAAGAACAGATGATGGCTGAGTCATTGGCTCCTCTGCTGTGCTCTGCGTGCTGGAGAAAGGTGTCCTGGTCACCACGATGGCATGGCTGGGATCAGGCACCTCCAAGGACCCATCGGTTGKCTCTGTCACAGTGGTGTGCTTTGTAGGAGATAAGACAGTTGTTCCTGATCCACTGCTAGYGGTGCTGGGTCCAAGGTGTGGGGTTACTGCTGTCCTGTTGGCAGCGGCCAGCGGTGCTCCGGCTGCCAGCGCAGTGCCGCTGGCTTGGGAGGTGCTTACACCTACATCTCTTGCTCCCACTGCCACAGTCGCTGCCTCAGGTGTGGTCYGGAGCTGGCCTGGCCCCTCCAGAGCTGGGGTGCTGGTGGTGACCAAGGAAGGCAGCCTGGTTGACAGCTTGTTTCCCCCAGAGTCCATCCTGGGGGCTGTTTGAGCTGGGACACGGTCTGTGATTAACTCCGATTTACTGGTTGCTGCTTTGGTCAGTGAAGGGGTAGAGACAGGCAAAGCCAGGGCTGTTGATGACATAGCCGTGGTGTCTTTGCTGACGGTTGTGGGCATGGTGGTGGTGGTGGGCTYGGCTGTAGCCCTCTCAGAGAATGGAGCAGGTGACAGGCTGGTGCTTCCCCCAGCCGCTGCGTCACCAGGCACTGTCAGAGYGGTCTCCTCAGCAGCACCGTGTACAGGTAGGGAAGCAGCAAGCCCATCAAGAGCTGTTGCAGTTGGGACTGCACCCTCATCTCCCCGGTCAACACCACCGAAGCCAGATCGCGCACGTCTGTCTGTCTGTCTGTCCGTGACAGGTTGTTCTGCAGCAGGGGACAGGGCAGGGCTGGCACCGGTGGCCTCAGCCATGGCAAACCCTGCTCTGGCAGTTGACGTCTTGGCTGTCCCGCTGGCTGTAGAGTCCTCCTCACCATGTGCTCCAGCTGCGGTGACGGTGTTACCAGAGGGGGCTGTGCCTGGTGGCAGCCAGGTGGCAGTGGGGCGGGCGGGAGAGGCGCCGCCTGCTCCATCAGACACAGAGCCGCTGTCTGCAGGGCTTGTCGGCTGTCGCGGTGTCTCAGCTGAGAGGTGGCGGGTCCCCGGGGAGGACAGACCCACTGCGGCCTCCACAGAGGCAGGGCTCCCATGCAATGAGCTTGTGGTGCTTGTTGTGGACATCAGTCTGTTTGTCGTCAGGGAGGAGGCGCCCAGGGCTGCCTGGGCAGTGAGGGTCACCACGGCCGTGTCTGTAGAGCTGACACTTGGTGACACCGTATGTGATGGTGGCTCCCCAGGGGCTGTTGTGTCCCTTGCCATCTGAGTGGCAGAACTGAGGGTGGGTGGGGAGGACGTTTCCTCTGTCGACACCGTGCCRAGGTGTCCGGGGCTTGGCAGCAGGCTGAGGGGTGGGAGCGCGGCAGTGTGCTGGGGAGCTGCGGAGGGCACTGCAGCACCCGGCGCGGGGGACACGCTGGCAGCCGACGGCGATGTCATGCCGGTCCTCATCTCTGCGCTGGTGGTGGTGGTGACGGACACAGCGGTGTCGGAGATGGACGCAGCGGTGTCCTCGCTGCTGGCCAGGGTTGCCGCACCATCAGTCCTGCTCTCAGAGGGACCCGGGAAGGATGCGGTGGTCTCTGCCAGGGTGGTGGTACTGCGGGGACCTGTCCATGCTGCGGCTGTGCCTGGCCAGGACATCCCAGCCGAGGGTTCRTCCTGGGCTCTGTGGCTGCCCGGGCTGGAGGACCTTGTAGAGGGCTCACTGCTGCTGTGCRTGGGCTCCACTGGTGACAGAGAGGTGCTGCGGGAGGAGGTGGCTGCTGTGACGAGCTCCACGCTGGCCCCGCTTGGGGTGGGAGAGGAGGATGTGGCCACGCTGAGGCTGCTTAACCCCACTGCCGTCCCGGTCACGCTGTCACTGGGGATGCTGGAGGACGTCACCACCATGGGGCTGGTGCTGCTGGGGACGGGGGAGGACACGCTGTCCCCCGGCTCGGCCGTGCTGGACATGAGCGCCAGGGAAGGTGCTCTGGAGGGCTCCGCAGCGGGGCYGGGCACTGCCAGCGAGTGCAGACCCACCACGGTGCTCCTGCTGCCGGGGGAGGGCCGTGTCACTGGGGGCGCGTTGCTGGTGCCCGGCTCAGTCCCCACAGTGACAGACAGGGTCAGTCCTGGGGCCGGCTCTGCTGCCCCTTCCCYGGCACCCGGGTAGGACACATCTGCTGCCCGCTCAGCAGTGCCACCGCTCTGGCTCGTGTGTGGCTGAGGGGCACCGCTGGCCCCAGAGGGATCCGATGTATGCGGAGCTGGCCCAGGAGAGGTGTTTTTACTGAGTGTCCTGCTCACCCAGCCTCCTTCTGCTGCATTTGCAACTAAGTTGGAGTCTTCAGCTGCCTGCATGGTGCTGCCGTCTCCTGCTGCCTGGGACCTGTCCCTGGATCCGTCCATGGCTGCATTTCTGGTGTCTGGCAGCGACGCCAGTGGGGGTGTCGGGGTGGCAGCGGTGCCAGGGGATGGACTGGACACGTGTGACACCGGGCTGGGGTCTGCTGAGACTGGCAGAGCAGAGTGAGTGCCCTGGAGAGGCAAGGGAGGAACCTCTGATGGGGACCTCGATTGGGGAGCATCATCCCCTGGGGCGGGTGGCTCCGGTGGTGGCTCAGTCCCGGGGAGTGCGTCACTGGGAGGTGGCCCTGCGTCATCAGCAGCATGGGCAAGAGCTGGCACAGCTGGTGCTTCTGGTGTTGGCTCAGCCCCAAAGTGACTCTGCAGAGATGTTGTCCAGCYCATAGCTGGGTGGGTGACGTAGTCGCTGGTGACGAGAAACAACCTTCCCATGGCTGAGGTTGGGGCTGTTTCTGAAGTGGCTGTGTCTGTATGAGYAGAGGGGCCCATGGCCGACTTGCTTGTGGCATTTCCAGCCCCAGGAGACACAGAGCTGGCTGCCCTCTGCACCGGGGTGTCACGAGGTGGCAGGTGGGTCATGCTGGTCACAGGGTCCTCTTCCGAGGCCATGTCTGGGGAGGCTGCAGGCAGTGCAGTGGTGGTGCTGTCTGGGCTGGGGKAGGCATCACGTAGGGCATCACCGGCCAGTGCTGGTTGCAGGGTGGTGGGGCTGCTATGTCTCATGGTTGCTGCTGTCCTTGGGGTGCTGCTGGATAGGGATGTCCCCAGAGGTGGCCCTTTGGTGGGACTTTCATCCAGGAGAGGTGCGATGCCTGCACGTGATGATGCAGAGGCTCTGCTGGCTCTGGCCATCTCCAGGGTGCCAGCTGCTGCTGCGAGGTTGATGGTTGTTGCTGCTGTGGTTGTGTCCTCCATGCGTTCAGAAGCTGTTGCTGCCTCAACGGCAGCGGGAGCAAAACTGCTGGGGGCTGGAGGGGACACTGCAGGATCACGCAGCTTCCCAGGGCTGGGGACAGAGACATTGGGTCCTGCATCTGCTCCACCTGTGCTCAGACCTCCAGACTCCTCTTCCAGCTCCTTGTCAGCCACRTGTGACCACGTGTCCCCAATGGGGGTAACAGGGGAACTGTGGTAGGTGAGCGGCGGGCTGGTGCCATGGGGGCCTTGCAGGTTTGTGTGCGACACCGGCTCATCGGTGACACCCCTGTTCAAGCCCGAGAAGCGCTGAGGCACTTGCAGTGTCCCAGTGTCCGTGTCCAAAGCAGCTGTGGCTGGGTTAAAAGTCACCTTCCCGGCTGACAGGGAGTGTCCAACGGAGACTTTGGCCGTGGCTGCAGAAGAGCCCAGGTCTGGGTCACTGCTGTCGGTGGCTAAAAAGGAGGCAGTCATGTCTGTGGATGACGTGAGGAGCAGCGAAGACCCGCGGAGAGCTGACTTGCCTATGGGTCCTGCCCTGGGCACCTTAGACGGTGCAGGGCCGCTCATGATGCTGGCCGGTGGCTGTGGTGAGTCTCCAGCTGGCTCGGGAGTGCTGGGAGATGGGTCTGGTGGAGCCGGCACAGGGCTGGTGCCCCAGGGCGTCGCGATGCCCGGCTCGGGGGAGCTGCCCACTGCTGCAGGGAGCACACTTGGACCTTCCCTAGCAGCTCCATTCCCAAAGGCTGGTGCTGCTTCACCCACCGGGTTCACAGTGCTGATGTCTGTGGTGGAGCTGCTCACCTCGCCATACCTGCCCAGGGAAGGTGTTGCCGTGGCTCCAGAGGATGCATATCCTTGTGCTTTCCTGGCACTGGTTCCAGCAAGGGGCAAGGACATCGCTGCGCTGAGCCCTGCCGAGGAGGATCCACCTGCAGCTGCTTCCAACAGGGCAGCGCCGGGGCCTGCAAGGGCTGCTGTGGTGGGCAGAGCCCCAGSGGGGTTTCCGAGGGAGGACCCCGTGCCCAGGACGGGCTCAGCAGGGGGACCGCCGTGCAAGGCTGTGGAAAAGCTCCTTGTTGGCCCAGCAGGGGTACTGGGAGCATCAGGAAGTGTCGCACCATGGGACGGGGTGTCTCCAGCAGTGCTGGCATACAGCGGTGCGTCCATCCCCATCCGGGCACTCGTGGTGCCCAGGGAAGCAGTGCCGGTCACTGCTCTCRAGGAGGGTTTGCTCCTGCTGTGGACCAGCTCAGCGGTGGCATTTTCTGGGGCTAGAAATGACCCAGCAGGGACAGGCTTTGCAGCAGTTACCTCTGGGCTTGAAGAGGAGGCATCATCAGCAGGGTCAGCGAGGCCTCTGCCAGTGGCTGTCRCTGTTGGGTCCGGATTGAGCGCAGTTCCATGGAGAGGGGCACCATAACTGGCTCTAGGTGGTCCATCCCCAGCAGTGACACTTGTCTCACGTGGGGATGTGGACATGTCCCCTTGCCAAGGGATGGCATCATTGTGGGCGGTTGATGTCTCTCCTTTGCCTGGCTCTGTGGTTGATGGGATGGGGGAGATCCTTGCTACCAGCTCTGCTGTGGCACCACCGGCACCTGCGGCGGGGACAGATGGAGGTGGCCGAGCAGGGGGTGTCAGGGTCTCCTGTGAGGCATCGCGGCCAGCTGCGGGTGTCCCTGGCCCTGCACTCCCGCTGGTGGGGACAGCGGCTCTCATTGAGGAGGCACCCGAGGCATCTGCAACAGGTGGCGTCACCCCCTCTGCTCCTGCTGCCGCTGGGTGAGGCGACGGCACGAGGGGTGCTGGCGTTGCGGGAACAGCAGCACCGCTCTCTGGGCCTGCGGTCAGCCCCATGGGGCTGCCTGGGGGCAGAGGGGAGGCAAGGGAGACACCAGCCCCTGTGGTGGCCGAGGAGGTGCCCTTGTCCAGCTCCAACGGGACCACCTGGGACGGGAGCCCAGCAGCTGCATGGGGCACCACAGCTTCCTTGTTAACAGCAGATGGTGACATCTCCAGGTCTTGTTTGATATGAGACAGCCTTGTGGATGGTGTTGTCCCCAGCGTCCCTTCCACAGTGATAATATCATCCAGCTGGAGCAGCCCATTGGCACTGGAGGCTTTGCCAGGGACCAGGGAAGAGGCTTTTGCCCCCAGCAGTGGTTGATCAGTGCGGGGTTGTGCACTGGGCAGGGACGTGTCTCCACCTCTTTTTGGGATGGTCTCTCTCAGTAGGCCTGTAGCACCTTCCACTGTGATTCCTTCAAACACATGGACAGTTGTCCCCAGGGCCCCTTCTCCAGGCTTGCTCTCCAGAGCTGCTGTAGACACCTCCAGGGCCTGCTCAAGAGCACTGGCAGTGTTCGACGATGGCGGGTTGTCCATCCCCTCTTTGGTGGGGATGCCTAGACCCACAGGTGACATTGGTGACGTGGCTGTGGCCAGCTCAGCACCGCTGCTCTCCACAGTGAGAGCTGGCATGTGCCCTGCTGGGGCAGGGGACAGARGCTGCGCATGCCCAGTGGCGCCAGGAGCTGCAGGGATATTGGTCAGGTGGCCAACAGGGCTGTTGGAGGAGACCCCTGCCCTTGCCTGGGGGCTGTCCCATGCTGCCAAACCCTTGGTGACCCCAAAGGCATCCGCTGTACTGGGAAGCGCCTTGCTGCTTCCAGCTGGGACCAGTGCTCCTGCAGTCTGCACCACCACGTCACCTGCAAGCAGAGACAAGATGGTCCTACCTGCAGGAGCACCAGCAATGCTCCCCGTGGGCAGGGATGTACCTGTCACCGGCTCTGGGCTGGCGTTACCTGCTACAGGGATGRCATTACTCGATCCCTGGCCGTCTCCAGAGCCGGTCCAGCGGGAGGCAGAGGGCTGGTGCGGAGCAGGCTGGCTCACTGCTGCCTCGCATACTCCTGGTCTGGCCTCGGTGGGGGACTCGTCTGCAGGCAGCCTGGCACCGGCGCTGCCTTCAGCCCCCGGGACGATGCTGTTGGGCTCTGCCGAGGCCTGCTCTGCCGAGCCGCTGGCAGAGGAGCCGTCCACACCTCCTCTGGGCAGCGGGACGTGGGGTGGCTCGTCGGGATYTGCTGCTGACCCTGCCGAAGGCAGCATTGCAGAGACGGGGCAATGGCCTGGCTGCCAGGTTGCTAGCGAGGGCGAAGCAGGAGAAGCCAGCTGGTGTTTTGCCTCCCCATCGCACCCTGTCCCTCATCCCTGCTCTGAGCGCTGCTGCAGAAGGAAGGTGCCCAAACGCCACATGCCACCTGCAGGGCAGGTTCCTGCCTCAATACCAACCGTGTTCCCTGTCCCGCTGTCCAGGTCCCAGCCAAACACAAGGCAAAAGAGCTYGCCCTACGCCCACAGCTTTTGGGGAGAGGGGGCATCACTCCAAGGCTTGTTTTACTGGGGGGGCCCCCTCAACCTTGGAACCTCTTCCTCCACGGGTAAAGGGGCAGCCCCTCCTGGGAAGCGCTTCCCGCCCGGCTGAGATGTGACCGCTGGCAGCATGCCTGGGCTGGCCAGTATCCACTAGGGACACCCGGCACCTGCCTGTTCCCCTCCTGTCACAGCCCAAACTCTGTCTCCTAATACCTCTCCTTCTGCTGACACCCACCGGGAGCAGTGACATGGCTGTGAAACCTATGGGCAGAAGCACCGGCACTGCCCCTGCTCTGCACCCGCTTAGCTGCCGGTGGGTGCTCCCTGGTAGCACCAGCAGACTCAGCAGGACACACTCCATCCCATCCCCAAGCCCTAGGCTGGTCACCAGCCCACTTGAGAGGTCCCTGCCTGTTCCACTGCTCCTTCCTGGGGCCAGAGCCATGACCTGGGAGATCCCACAGGGCACATCAAGATGCCTGGGGGGAGGGCGAGCAAAGGAGCAGCTACCCCTGCCACCCCGGCCAGGCCAATGCCTCCAGAGACGGCCCAGGGGTGCCCAAGGAGAGCCTTGCCCAAGCAGAGCCCCGCACCAGGCTCCCGAGAAGGAGCAGAGCCGCTCGTGCCTCTGTTTGCTGCTCTGGCAACCCGTTACCGAAACAACAGCCTAGCCGTGGCTCTGGGGCTTTGTTGGAGACGCGCAGAGCAACCGAGCGCAGCCCTTCACCCGTATCCGAGATGGTATCTGCCCCAGCTTGCCAGGCAGCCGYGCGCGCCGCGACCCCAGCGCTTACCTGGCAGCGCCCAGAGCCCCCAGAGCAGCCAGCCCCAGAGGGCGAGCGGGCGGGAGCGGCGCATGGCGCGGGGCCCCGCGGGCTGCCGGCGTCGACGGAGCGGCGTCGCCTCCTCCAGCCGCTGGAATGAGGCTGGCAGCTCTCCCGCGCCGATGAAATGAGGCGGGCTCCCGGCACCGAAACACTCCCAGCCCTGGGCCCTCCTCCGCTGCCGCCCCGCGGCAGGGCCACCGAGCGGGGCGCCACGTGCCGCGGCCCCGGCACGGCGTTCACGCTCCCTCGTGGCGGTGCCGGAGCCCCGGGGTGCTGCCATGGAGCCTGGCTGCAATTTGGACCCATTGGGCCAGGAACCGGCTCCGTCACCTTGCAAACGCTTTGAGCCTTTCCCAAATTGCCAGTTTTCTGCACCAAGCGTGCTGAGAAGCACAGAGCTATGGGTCTGGGCAACGCGGTGCCAGGGTCCTGCTGGCCCCTGCTGCCACCTCGGGGAGCACTGGGGACACATAAGCCAGCGTGTGGGGGTGCTGGAGGGATAGCACCATGGTAGGACCCACAGTTGTCACCTTTACAAGGTCCTGCAGTCAACGCCTCAAGGTTGGGTTCATCTTTAGTGTCGTAGCCCCATTTTTACCAGGGCACAAGGAGGACCCGAGGAAGGGGAACCAGCGCAGCCGCAGGCTCGGGTGCCAGCCCCGTGCCCACGCTTTCCTGCTCGCTGCCGGCTCCGGCCACGCACGGCCGCCYGGCTGGTAACCCCCGTGAGCGACGGGCCGGCTGCCAAGGAGGAACAAGGAAGCGAGCAGTGCTCCCKCTTGGCTCCCCACTGCCTCGGGGTCCCTCAACCCTCCCCATCCCCRGGGGCTTCCGCAGCGGCGTCTCCGTCAGAGCCACGCAGAGCCCTCGTGGCRCTCAGCTCTGCCCCGAGAGCGTTTCCCAGAGCACCACAAAGGTCGTCACGTTAAGGGCTAATCATAAGGGCTTAATAGAGCCATTAAGCGCAGCGGGTTATCTGCGCCATCGAGTGCGTCCCATTGCAAACGCCCACGCAAAGCCAGGTGCAGGGGGGAAGGGTGCTGTTCTCCCATGGGTGCTTTGGGGCTGGGCCTTCCTCTGCTCCGCAGGTCACCTTAAAAAAGGGAAAGGACGGACGCGCTCACCCTGGCGTGCAGAGGCCCTGCTGGGCCTGGTGGGAGCACTTGCAGCAAGCAAAAGTTTGCTTATCCACCGCCAGAATCATTTTAAGGGAGGAAAAAAGTCAAGCAAAGCATTGCATCTTGCTGCTTCTGCAACCTTCCTGCCTGGCAGCCACATGACAGAGGCAAGTGCCACAGGAGCTGCACCAGAGATGGGGAAAACGGGCTGCGCACAGCAGTCCCACCAGCCCTCCCCATGCCGTGCTCTGAAAAGCCTCATCGYCCTTGCTGGGGAGAGGACATGGAGAGGGGCTGCACAGTGCACGTGGTGATGTGGTCCCCAACAGCCACCTGGCCCTGGGTTGCCACGTGCCACCCGGAGAGGTGCCCAGGAGGAGCCGGCAGCCCCGAGACTCACCGTGTATGAGCCCGCCTGGCGCTGCCTCTCCTCCAACGCTCCGGCTCCAACGCTCCGGCCTCCGCAGGTGCCTGGGGTGGCTGGAGCTGGGGGAGCCCGTGGTAACGCCTGCGGAGCTTCRCTGACACTGTTTTGCCACGGCGGTGACGCCAGCGTGCCAAAGCACCCAGTTCAGCGCTGAATCCRGCAGTGCCATCAGCGTTACCCCAGCCGACATCCCTGGCACGCCAGGGATCGCTMCCAGGCGCTGGCAGCTTCTGCCTGGCACCTGGATGCGCGCCAGCCCCCCGAGGAGCCCGTGCAGGTCCTGCAGGCTCTGCAGCGCACACGGGCTCYGCGCGGGGGAAAACACACCACTGGCGCCTGGCATGTTTGGGGACACTGGGGCCCAGCCTGTTTGGGCACCCAGGTGTTTTTCCCCTGCACAGAGGCCACCTGCGCGGTGACCCTCAAAGCYGACACCTCGGGGAGCGGCAGCGCAGACGTGGTGCTCGGCTCCGGGCAGCAAAGCGGGTTTTGTGCCCCGCTGCGGCTGGGCTAGCGCTGCCGCGGTGCCTCCCGGCGGGCGCCGAGCGCTCCCGGCTCYGCGGGGGGATCCGGTTGCACAAGGGCCCCCGGCCACCACATGTGTGGGTGGGGGCGAGATGCAGGTCTCGCCACTCCCTGCGTGGGCATGAGTCACGCGGCGGCTCCGGGCCCGTCTGCCGCGGGCGCCGCGGCGGCCCGAGGGGGCGGCAGGAGCCCTGCGGGCACCAGGGCTGTGCCGCCAACGTCTCCCCGGCCTGGGGCACGGCGAGGGGATTCAACAGTGCCCAGCCCTCCAGCATGGGGCCCAGGCGTGCGACTGGGACAAGTTCAAGCAGTTCTGGGCCTGGTGGACACGCTCACCCCAAGAGTCATCAAAGCGAGTGCAACTAGGGGCTGCTCATGGCATTTGGTGGCCTRGGGGCATCAAGAGAGCCTGGGTCTTAGCTGGGTAGCCAAGGCGTGTGGCCACCGCTGGGCATCCCCTGCCCTGCAGCAGGGCTGCCCCGGCGCACGGCTCTGCTGGTGGGAGAGCTCCTGCCGTGCAGCAGYGCTGCCTCTGCCGACCCTCCGCATGGCGGGACGCAGGAGCGTCCCTTGGCAGCACCTCCAGCACTCACCTTCCACAGGTGCCCATGTCCTGCTGCCAGCCCTGGGGGGCACCCTGTGAGCCACGGTAGCGACAGGACCACTCTGTGCAGGGGGGTGAGGGATGCAGGTACCTGATGACCAGGCCATGGCTTGAGCCTGGGGAAAGCTCCTGTTATGGCGTCTGTATCCCTCTGCCAGGTCCCACGGACTCGCATCCTCCCGGGAAGCAGGAAGCCCCAAGGCACGGGATGAGGGTCCTGGCCGCGGGCACAGGAAAGCTGGCACACGGTCTGTGCTGGCCAGGCAGTGCAGGGTGCAGGGACCCTCAGATCCACGTGTGCCAGCAGGGACRAACCCAGGAGATGGGCACAGGCACCTTCCTCCTCTCCATAGAATATTTTTATATATTTTTATATATATATAATATATATATATATTAAAATTACATTTCTCTTTACAAAAACAACTCAACAATGGGCTGGGGGACGGAGACCATCTTCAAAGCCAGGGCGGGGGCACCCTGGCATRGGGGTCATGGCAAGTCCCAAACCCTAGGCAGGCTCCATTTCGGGGCACCTCTGCCCCCAGGCAGGGCTCAGGCCAGAGTCCAGCAGCAGGTTGTGTGGATAGGGGTGGCCACAGTGCGCGGTAGTTCCACGGCGAGATGCCCGCTCCAGATCCGACGTAGCTCACCCACGTCCCGCTGTCACCGCCTGCAAGGGGAGGAGAAGATGGGAGCTCAGGAGGGGCCGCCCAAGAGTGGCTCAAGGCCACCATGGCTTGGGACACCCTCCCCAAAAGACCCGCCTGGCTCCCAGCACCTCCTGGGCACCTACTTCTGCCGAGACGTGCTGCAGGGATCCAGGAGGTGGGAGCTGGCCTGGGCCAGGTTCCAGTCGAACATCTCCAGCACGCGGTGACATTCAACGCGGGACTTCAGCCCCAGGCAAAAGAGCTGCTCCACCTGCGGGGGGACAGGGCAGAGCGTGGGCGAGGGGCCGTGGCGCTGCCCGCGCCGGGGCGGCCGCGCCGCCCGCCGCAGCRCCCACCTTCAGGTACTGGATGGCACGCTGCACGTTCCAGCTGTGGTTCTGCAGCGCCGTCAGGCACTCCTCCGTGGTCACGCCGTGCACCATGTCCTGCACCTGCAGAAGGTCACTGCCACCGCGCGCCACGGCCTGCGTGCTGCCAGGGCACCCGCTGTCCCACCAAGTGCCCAGGGCAGCAAGGCTCCCATGGCTAGAACATGAGTCCCATCAGGACAAGATCCGCCCCACACCTCTGGTGCAGGGAAGCACTGTTAGTTGGAAGGAGCTGGGCCTGGCTGGGGGACTGCTGTTTGGGCCAGACACTTTGGAATCCCATGGGAATGCTTCCTCTTTCTTGCCTGTTTGGGAGCAATCCCTGCATGGCATGGTGAGATTTGGGGTGTASAGATCCTGCACCCAAACCCTTGTCTGCCAGCTGTCTGGCACATCCTGATGTGCCCATCCTGCCTGGGACAGGGGCGAGCCCTTACTGCACCCCCAGCCCAGCTGGTGGTGCCCCCTGCACTCACCATCCCCTGGGCTTAGGTACAAACTCCCCAGCTGGGACAAATCCAGCCCTGTTCACTCTCAACGCCCAAAGGAACCAGAGCCACCACTCTGTGCCTGGCTGTGGTGGCCAGCCTGGAGCTGGAGCCGTGGCCCACAGGCTGCCATGGGGTTAAAAGGGTGCAGGTTAAAAGGGTGTTTGATCCCCACTTGAGCACTGCAAAGACATTTCTGCACCGTGGTGTCTTTGAAGAGCCCTTGTAGCCAGCACCCCTTGGGTCTGGACATGGATAAGCTGTGGTCCAGCCCAGGTGGTGCAGTGAGCCTGTGGCACGGACGTGGCTGTGGACTTGTGGCATCAGGACAAGAGCCATCCTGCCCCATACGACCTGCAGAGCCCCAGAAAAGCCACTTACCAGCCGGATCTTCTCAGAGGGGCGGTAGCCATCCGGCCCATCATAGACGATCTTTTGGAGGCTGCAGGAAGCCTTCACCAGACACTTGGGACCAGGGTTGCTGTTGTTGGAGGAGAAGTTAGCTTTGTAGTCCGGCTGCTGCTGCACCATGGGCCGCACAGTGGCTGTGGTTACCACGCGGGAAGCTGGAACCTCTTCGGGGCTTTTGGCCTCCTTGAAAAACTTCTCATACTTGTCCAGGTAGGCCGGGCGCTCGGGTAGCAGGTAGTAATGTGTGCTGCTGACCTTCTGCCCATCCTTCACGATGGGCAGGATGCAGGGCCCCTTGGGGCAGTCCTTCCCCTGCGCCTGGATGACCTTAGGGGTGGTGTATTTGGGGTCGAGGGCGAAGCTCTGCGTGGTGGGCATGGGCTTCCCCGGCGAGGTGGAGAGGTAGGAGCAGAGCGTGGCGCGCTGCTGGGGGGAGCCCACCTGCAGAGCCATGGGGCTGGGGGTGCGCGAGGTGGGCTGCGAGAGCGGGTCGCGTGGCGGGATCTGCGGCGGCCGGTCCTCCTCGCCCCCCGAGGCCGGCGAGAGCTCCCCCGACCAGCGGCCGGGCTCGTTCCTGCGCAGCGGCCGCGGCGGGATGGGCACGCGGGGCGGGATCTGCGGCTTGTCCTCGGCAGGGGCTGCGGCGGCGGCGAAGGCGGCCGTGCCCAGGGGCACGTTGAGCCTCTTCATGCACTCCTGCTGCAGCTCCTCAAAGATCTCTGTGGTCTGCGTCAGGCTGGGCTGCTTGGCCTCCTTGGGCGGCAGGAAGAGGTTGTCCTCCAGCACCGCAGCCCTGTCGCCCTCATCCACGAAGCCGTAGTTGGTCTCGCCCCGCTCGCGGGCCTTGGGCAGYCCCGCTCGGCTGCCCCGCCGCCCCGGCGGGCTGTTGATGGAGCACACCTCGAAGTCGTCCTCGTCCTGCGCCACGTAGTCGTAGGCCGGCGGTGGCGGCAAGGGCCGCGCATCCCAATCCACCACGGGCGTGGGGTGGAGGGGCCGGGGCAGGGCCCGCGTGGGGCTCTGCGGCGGGGTCTTGTCCAGCAGCGAGCAGGCCTCCATGGCCAGCTTGGAGACCAAGGGCATCGGGAGCTCCCCGACCGGCGACGGGCTCGGCGGGGGCGCCTCCTCGCCGAAGTCGATGAGCGTCACCTCGCCGCCCGGCGGGCCCTCGCTCAGCGCCTGCCCGGGCTGCCGCTCGCCCACCTTGGTGCCCGACACCCGGGCCGAGGGCTTTGCCAGCCGCAGTCCCTTGCCTGGGCCTGGCTTCTTCAGGCAGAGCTTCCGGAGGCCTGCGGAGAGCCCCTCGTCCTCCTCGCTGACGGGGTCGTAGGAGGGCTCTAGGATGGGGCGGAGAGGACAGTGAGCAGGCCATCAGGTCCCCAAACCCACCCTTGGGCTGACAGAAGGGGATGGTTGTCTCTGGAGATCCCAAGGGACATAACAGGTGCAGGAGAACATCTCCAACCCCAAGACCCCAACTGCAATCCTTCCCAAAGCAAAACTGCAACGTCCAGAAAACTCACCCAACCCCACAACATGTCAGCAACCTGGGCAACCTCTTGCCCTGCTCCCATTTTAGCCCCTTGACTGCAGGGCTGTCACAGTCTTGCCCTGCCGCTCCTGGGGCAGGAACTGCCCTCTTCCATGCTATGGCTTAGGGAATCCAGGTCCCACTTTGCCCATCACTACGTCACACAGCCACCATCGTCCCCTCGCCCCTGGCGCATGCCCATGCCACAGTCATACCCAGGACAAGGGGCTGCTCAGCCCCATGTGGCTCTGGGGTTAGTAGTGCCAACATGTAACACCTCAGGGCAGTTAGTCCCCACTGGTCCCTCCACGGGAGACATTTGAGCAGGGGCAAGAGCCTGGAGATGCCTTGGGGGAGATGGGACATGCATCAAAGGCAGCACCATCTCCCGCAGGCTGGGCCCGATGGGGACCACCTYGCTTGGGCCATGCCCTGGATTCAGAAGAGGTGTCACGAGGCAGCGGGTAGGTCCCTACGGGCAGCAGGGCCCTGCCATCACCTGCTGGGGGCCTGGCCAYGTCTCCCGTGCGGGGCCAAGCGGAGGGGCAGCGGCCACCCCGGGCGAGAAGCGCACAGCACACCCCGAGTACCTTGGAAGAAAGGAGCTAAGAGAGAACAGAGAGGGCACGAGCAGCGCTGGCGGCTCCCAGAACAGCCCCACTTACTCGTAAGCAGGATGGCAGGCTGAGGTGGGCGCGGAGGCGGCTGCCCTGCGGGAAAGAGAGAGCCCGAGAGGAGGAGAGAGGCAGCGTTAGCGCGTGAAGCAAGCGGGGAGCCGGGGCGCTGGGCACCGGCTGGGGGGAGACGCGGGCACGGGGCAGATGCTGGTGGCATCTCCCTGGTTTGCAGGCTTGGGGATGGGAAGCATGTCCACGGTGTCACAACTCCTTGTCCTTCATGGGACACGGTGGCTCTGACTATGATGGTCAGTTGAGGTCCCCTGTGACAGGTTCCCTCCCTCTTCACCAGGGAGGCTTGGAGGGGACAAGTGACAACGAGGTGGAGGTTGTGGCCTGGCTGTGAGTTGCCCAAGTCAGGATCCACTGCTGGGCTGGGTGACAGCACAGCCAGTCCCGGGGGCAGCTGGCCACCCCAGCCTCACCAAAAGCCAGTGCCCCCAGGCCTTTGAAAAGCAAGTGGCAGCAAGAGACAGAGCAGAGAGGACAGACGTGGCACAAATCGGCGCTTGCTGGTGCTACCCCTCACCCGGGCAGGGCACAGCTCCCGGTACGGAGAGACCGGGCTACGCACAGACTGGGCTGGAGACAATGGGGTAAAGGGAAAAGCCACTTACTTTTAGCTCTTCCTGGGAGCTGGGTGGGTCTGGCAGCACTCAAGTCCACACCTAAAATGTCAGGAGGGTCCATGGGATTTCCCAGGTAGAGCCTGTAGGTAGAGAGCAGAGACCGGCTGGGGATCGGCCGTGTCCCTGGCCGCCCAGACGCCCACCCTGTGCTCACACACATGCAGTTCAGCCCCACCTCGGGCAGACGCCGCACGTCCTGCCCCTCGCACAGGGCACGAGAAGCAGCAGAGAGGACCCCGCAGCCCCCTCCACAAAGCCCCGTGCGCCCAGGGAGCAGAGCCGGCGGGGGCAAGAGGCGGCACATCCCGCTGTGAGCACCGACCCCGGGGCCCGTCCCGCCCTCGCGGCCCCACGGCGCAGCCTCGGCGGCAGGGCCGCCCGCTCGGGGCCCGGGGGACGCG